GGGGAAGGGAAGGGAAGAGAATTAAAAAGAATTAAGGTATGTTAAATACATGTATCAATTTCCCGTAAGTGTAATCATCATGTAGTAATAAAAAGACTTAAAAATAAACAAACAAAATGTAGAAAAAAATTTTAAATACCATGACTAGACAGCACACAACCTGACTTTTAAAAGGGGCAGGCCCATAGGTATAGCTCAGTTGTAGATCATTTACCTAGTCCTTGGGTTCCATCCCAGCACCACAAAAAAGGCCAAAGATCTGAACAAGCACCTCAGCAAGGAAAGCAATACAGATGGCACAAAAGCATATGAGCTGTTCAACATCATATGTCATTACAAATTAAGGAATAATAACAATTACAAATTCAATAATAATACATCCCTATATACCCACAAGAATGACTAATATCCAAATACAGATAACACCAAATGCTAGTGAGGATATGGAGCAACAACAGCTTCACTCAATGCTGGTGGATATTCAAATGGCACAGATACTCTGGAAGAAAGTCTGGCAAACATGATCCGGCAATCACGCACTATAAATCTACCCAAATGAGATGAAAATGTAGGTCCACACAAAAGCCTGCATACAAATGTTTATTATAGCCTTATTCATAATTGCCAAACATTAAAGGAATTGAGATAACTGTCAGAAAGTGAACAGATAAGCTCTGCTACATAACAATATTACTTGTAATAAAAAGAAATGATCTGTCAAGCCATGAGAAGACAGAGAATCCTTTAATGCATAATGTTAAATAAAAGAAGCCAGTGTGAAAAGATTACATGCATTATTGCTCTAACTATGGTACTTTCTAGAAAAAACAATTCTAAAGAGGAAGAAGAGAGACAGTAGTAAAGTTGTGACACACAAAAGACTTCTAGAGCCATGAAAGAACTCCACATGATATTGTAATGCCAGATACATGACATCATACATTTTTCAAAACTCACAGGATGTCCAAAACAAAGAAGGAACTGTATCATAAACCATGAACAGTGAATAACAATGCATCAATAGTGGTTCATCAGTTGTAACAAATGTAAAACAACAAAGCAAGACACCAATAACAGAAGAAAATCAGAGACCTGTGCAGTATGCGAAAATTTTCTGAACTATTCAGTTTTTCTGTAAAACTAAAACATTTAAAAATCAAGGTCTACTAATGCTTTTAAAAGTCAGATATGTAACTATTCTAACTTATGAAAGGAAAATAATAAGGTAAAATTTATTTTTTAAAAATGTCACTGTTGACAAAGACAACAAAAACAAGAAGACTGATGCACAGTCAAGGAAACTGTTCAAGGACACTGCAAGTCTTGGGGATGGGCGCGGTATGTGAACTTTGGCAAGGCCTAAGCAGAGCACAGAAGGAAGAAGTGAAAAGTGCTGTTGATGCACACTTTTGAGATAGCTGTGGAAGTATGAATATGGGCTCTAGTAAATGGTACCATGGAACTGACTGTGTTTAGGCAGAAAGACACCCTCATTCTTTTTTTTTTTTTTTTTTTTTTTTGGCAGAACTGGGGTTTGAACTCAGGCCCTTGTGCTTGCCAGGGAAGCACTTATTCCACTGAGCCATCTCCCCGGCCCAATACCCTCATTCTTAATGTCACGATACCTGCATCTTTCAAATAGTTCATGGAAACAATAGTGGTCCATGGAAAGATACAGCAAACTAGGCAGCCACATCTGCTGTCCATTAGAGAAAAGCACAGAGGTAAATTCTTCTATGGCTCTTCCAATTCATGAAGGATCAAATTTCAAAGTTGCTTCTTTGACAAAACTAGTTAGAGAAAGCATATATAATCAGTACCAAAATAATAAATGACACATCACTAAGACACCCCAGACACTGACAAGTTAATAAAGCGTTATCATTAGCAATCAATGTCCACAAATTTCAAGATTTAGCTAGGTGAACACTCCTGACTTGAGAAGGAAGCACTCAAACTCTTCAACTATAGAGGGAAAAAAACCTCCCTCAGCATAACCACATTTAGCCTCATCTGCAAATTCTACCAACACATACACAATAAGTACTTCAAATCCTACAATAACTATGTCCCCAACTTATTTTTTTCCCAACTTATTTTTTAAGATCAGTTATTACTGAGAGCAGGCAAAGACAGCAAGAGAAAAGAAAATCCCCAACAAATCTCATATATGAACATAGATTTAAAACACCAAACAAATTTCACCAAAGTGAGTTAAACTCTGTATAAAACAGTTCATCATGACAAATAGGTTATTCCAAGAATAGAAAGTATACCCAGTTATCATTTGACACATTACCAGTTAAAAGGTGAGAAATCCTAAAACCATCTTAATAGACATAAAATTAATGGCTTCAGAAAATTCATGATTTTAAGAAATCATAGCAACGCATGCCTGTAATACTAGTACCGTGGCAGAAGGATTGCCACAAGTTCAAGGCCAGCCTGGGCTGCATAGTGAATTCAAGCCTAGACTGAACTACACAGCAAGACTTTGTCTCAAAAAAACAAGAAACAAACAAAAAGAAAGAAATCAAAGTGGAAACAGAACTTCTTAATCCAATAAAAGATGTCTTGTCCTCCCAAAATAGCCTACATGAATACCACATAATAAAACAGAAAGCTTCAGCCAGAAATGACAAAGGAGACACAGAAGTATTCAGATGCTGCCCCAGTCTCCTAGAGAGTGCAGGAAAAAAATAAAAAATAAAAGGTGCGAATTAGAACAGAAGAAATGAAATTCACATGTCAGATTATTAAGAAAATCCAAGAATATGCAGTTAGTAGAATTAATAAAAGATTGATGATACTTGCATATATAACATACATATATTAAAATCATTTACCTTTACATATACTCCAATAAGAAAATAAGAGAATACAAACATTATGAAGAAAATTATAAAACTGTATTGACACACATTTTTAAAAACATGCTTTGCTGGGCATGGTAGCATCTGCTTCTCTGAGGTGGGAGGATCACTAAAGCGCTTGAATTTGAGACTAAGCTTAAGTAACAAAATGGTTTGGAAGATTTAATATTCTAATGATGTTTACTCTCCCATAATAACTTACTGATATACACAATTCTAAAAGGTATTGTCATGAAACTTAACATAATGGATTCAATATTTTCACAGATCAAAGGGCCAAGACTAGCTAAGTCAGAACAGAAGGGTGCTCACCTTTCCAAAAACCAAGAGTATTGAAAACCTGGGCTTCGTGCGATGGATGCTTAGGGCTTAACAGAAAGCTCAGAAACACAACACATAATAAGGGTGCAAGATTTAGTTCAAAGCTGACAATAATAGTAATGGAACAACCAGGTACTAACTTATAATCCTGAATTTGGACCCTTCCTCACTCTAACACAAATCCAAGGCAAAAATGAGCTAAATATAATGGATGAAAGCATTAGGAAAATTTACAACAAAATATTTGTATTACCTCGACAGAAAGAAAGTCATCTTAAATAAGGAAGAAGTCTGCACCATAAAGGAGAGAGTGACAAGTGTAACCATTTCAGAACAAATAAGTTCTGTCCATCAAGGCACACCATAAAAAGAATGGGGAAAAAAACTAAACAAGGCATAATCCAGAGAGAAGACAGAATATAAGAACGATGAAGAGATAATGTCTGGAATATAAAAAATTCCCTCAAACAGGTAAGAAAAAGACAAACAACTCAATGAAAACCAGACAGGATCCACAGCAATAACACACACACACACACACACACACACACACACACACACACACACCACATACACATGAGCTTGGGTGCTTCACAGAAGAGGAAGTCTATGTGGCCAGCATGTAAATCAAAATGTGTTCACTCTCAACAGTTATCAAACTTCAATACAATGTATCTTTTCTATGTTCACCCAACTGGTAAAAATAGAAACAATTTTTAGCAGCTTTCACTGTTGGTGAGAAAGATGCATCTGAGACACTTGTGCCATTTGGAATAGTGCAAATATGGGACCCAGCAATGTCTCTCTGCACAGAAGGCACCAAGAGAGTACAGGCATGCCATGGCCTCACATGTGGTAGGCATCACATGTGTTAGGAAGAAAGAAGTCATCCAGCTGCCGTGTGATAAGGCATGGATGTACAGATCAGAAGAGCGAGTAAAATAAGGACACACAGAAGCCTACTGCTGGGCACTGACAGAGACTCTCAGACCCATGGTGTATGCATTCCAAAAAAGTGTAGGGATCTACCAAGAACACAGTAAGAAGAAGGTCCAGATTCCCTGACCCAGTCATGTAGGGAGGAAGGGGGAGACAAGGAGGCCATGCAAGGACCTCAGGACACTTCTTTCCTGATGGTGGTAGATACCTGGCTATTCATAGTATCACTTAATATTTAATTACAAAAATGAATTAGTTTCTAGATACATCTAAAGGAGAAATGGTCCTGCCCCTGTGCGAAGGCTGGGGCTAGCACCTCCAAAATTCCTCTGCTCATGCACAAGGCCCTGGAAGCTTCCTCTAAGTCTCTCCAGTTTTCCTGCTGGCCAACAAGTCTCCAGGTGGCCATTTGATCTCAGGGGGGAAGGACTACAGTGTCTCTGCAGAGTGGCTAGGACTGAGCTCTTTAGACCACTCAGAGCATCTTGATTTCTAAGATCACTGAAGCAAAGCCTCTAACAAAAACTGTTTAGATAAGAGGAAGGTGCTCTTGAGGCCTCTACTCAGAGAACTACCAATAATCCCTTGTACTGAGAGTGTGCCACCATCTTCTCACGCTGTGGTTTGGACCTTTTAGCAGCATTACTCCAAAAATGGCCCATGTGCCTATTTTTCAGCTTTTGTCACCAACAGTGAGGGGATCACCAAATTTCCTATGGAAAACTGAGCCTGCATCCCAGTCCACCTTCTTGCACTCTAGGCTGCTGAACAAATTAAATAGCCATGGCTTAGCACAGCTACTGGTGAGCAATGCCTAAGCTGAGCAACCAGCTAAGTAGCCTGTGAATAGGAAAACACTAGACCCACCTTGTTGAAAACCCAGACCTCACCATTCACTGTGGGTCTGGGCACCCCATGGCCATTGTAGTGGAAAAGGACGCGTTCCTCCTTGGCGTTGCGACGTAGTGATGTGCAGAGTTTCTTGACTTCATCGACAGTGGGGTCCAGGCTCTGCTTATACCGGGCCTATGGTAAGAGAAGAAATGAGACAATCATCATGGACTCAGAAAAGGTACAAGGCATCCTCTCCTGTGCTCTGAGTCTACAATTAGCAGCTGGCCTTGCACATGTGACCCCAAGCTTCTACATCCCAGGTAAGTGAACAAGAGCTACCTCACAGGGCCATGCTAAGAACCTGCTCCTCACTCAATCAACACACATTCACTGTGAATCATGACAAAAGCCAAAGGTCTGCCATGTGGCAACCCAGATCAAATGAAGCTGCTATGCTGGTACCAGCTGTTTCTCAGAAGTAGGAAATCCCTCTGGACACATTTTAGGAACATGGGATAGAGACAACCACTCAAATGGGACCTGTAGTACACACAGAAGTGGTAGAGTTAGGTAAGAGATTCCTGCCTTCTGCTGAAAACACCCAACCCCTTCCTGGACCTTCATTGACCCTACTGAGGAGTCCCAAAATTAACAGAACCTGAAATTAACCTACAAAACTCAGAAGTCTTCATATGTACAAACAATAAACAAAGGGTATTGTGGCAAAGGAAACCACATTAATAAAGCAACAAAATGATCAAATAGGTAAGAATAAGTGTAAGAAGAAATGTACAAAACGTAGGGAGAACTTGTCAACATTCTTCTGGAAAACACAGAATACTTGAACAAAATAGTGTTCCTGCCTGGGTAGGACACTCAACAATCTAATGATGCCAATCTTCCCCAGGGCCAATCACACATACAGTGCACTTTCCCAATGAGCTATCCTATAGAATTAGACAAACTGCTGCTAAAGTCTACATGAGGAGCTGGGGGAAGGGCACACAAGAATATCCAGGAAAACACAGAAAAAGAAAGCCTATGGGGACTAACCTCTACCAGGGCCTCTAATTAGGATGGAGGGTAGAGGAACTATGTGACAGGCAGCTGGAACAGAGAGTTTGGAGTCACAGTCTTGCACTCAACTTGGGTTCTCATGAATAGCACTTACATTACACGAGCAGCATACTATTCTGAGTGCTGATTTTGTTAAATGTTTGGCTAAGTTGCAAACGGGAGTTAGGAGCAAGCCAACACAGTCAAGTCTGACCTTGTGACAAGACACTGAAGCTAGTAAGAAGGATAAGGGTCTCTACTTTGTATTCATTTCTCCTTGTTTGGTTACAAAGAACTTTTAATGATAAATCTCCAATGAAGAAGAGTAGAAAGGATGAATATTAAAGTACTAGGCTTCATCAGAAAGTCAATAAAAATGTTTCAAACTAATAGCTCAACACCACACAACACAAACATATTCTTCAAAAATATAGCCTCAGGGGGCGCCAGGGAGATGGCTCAGTAGAAGAAGTGCTTCCCTGGCAAGTACAAGGGTCTGAGTTCAATCCCTGGTTTCACCAAAAGAAAGAAAGACAAGACAGACAGACAGACAGAAGGGCAGGCAGGCAAGCAGGCAGGCAGGCAGGCAGGCAGGCAGGCAGGCAGGCAGGCAGACTATGCAGTTGGGTGTGGTGGAATACACTTGCAATCCCAGCACTCTAAGAGGCTGAGGCAGGAGTATCATAAATTCAAGCCTAGCCTAGGCAATTTAGGTTTCAGGTTTCCTGGCCTTTGGAGAGAAAATGGTTAAAATGTTAGCTTCTCAGCATTGAGATAGAAATTTGGCTTCACTAATTATATACTATAACTACATCTTAAGACAATATAAAATTCTCAATAATGTACCACCCAAATACAAACTTTTCAATAACTTACTACACTTCACTCGAGTCACCATTATGGATCAACGTGAAAGCTTTACAATGGCTTTTCCAAGTTCTCAAGACTCTTTGCACCTCTAAGCAAAACCCAACTGAGACCACAAATAACCCACCAAAAGCAGCCCTACTAGACCACAGAATAAATGTGGGGTCTTACCTGAGGTAGCAAGGTTAGGGCCCAACAAAGTGAAACTCCTCAGTGCTTCTTCCCTCAGAATCAGCCTGCTATTGGCACAATAAAAGTAGGGCCACAGAGGAGACAGAATGCTAACTCAGTGCCAGGCTTTTAACTTCATTTTCATCCATCAAGCAACATGTGGTGGGTGATGTGACATCCATAAAGGGGCATTCCCTGGCAAGCTCATGGGCCTCAGTTCAATCCCCGGTTTGGAAAAAAAAAAAAAAAAAAAAAGGCAGCCAGCTATACAGCAGTTCAACATAAAGGGGCTCTAACAGAACAAGACTGGCTCATCCTCAGGGAACAGAGTTCACAAGACAAGAGGTGGGCTCAGAAAAGAGAAAGAATATCAGAAGAGAGATTCTGGTACAGGCCTGGAGATGGGGTCATCATTGCCCAGGAGATGCAAAATGACATTCAGTTCACATGGCCCAAGCGCCTGGCTCTTTTACAAAATTCTTTGTTGAATCCCTTAGGCAGAAAAAACTCTCCTCTCCTCTCCTCTCCTCTCCTCTCCTCTCC